CTCTCTCTCTCTCTCTCTCTCTCTCTCTCTCTCTCTCTCTCTCTCTCTCTCTCTCTCTTTCTCTCTCTCTCTCGTTCTCTCATTTTCATACTCCCCTTCTCGTTTACTAGTTCACACCCATGTCTTTCTCTTGCCCCGGTTCCCAGACTACCTGCTTATCTCTCTCCCTCTGTCTCTCTCTCTCTCCTTCTCTCTTTCGCTATGTTCTCTCGCTTCCATCCATCGCCCCGCGTTAATGTAAACATATTGTTTTCCGCATGTAATCTAATCACACTTAATATTTTTCCCTTATTTGGATTAATTATTTACCAATTTAGTGAGTGAACAGCTTCTGTCATATATTCCAAGTATGTTAGTCGAGTAAAGTAATATGTACATTCACTGTTCATATATGTCGTTGATATTTACTTTACTGTATTGCGATACTCGATCTGTGATCGAATTTGAACAGCAGTATGTACACATGACGAAGTTAATGTAAAGCCAATCGTCTGGCAGATTTTCTTGCTTTATAGAAAAATGCTGGTTTGCTTCTCAGCGTTGGCGTTAAATTTGCATTGAATCGCTAGCAAAATTTATAATTAACCTGATATAGATGATGAAGATATATATATATATATATATATATATATATGATAATATAGATTCTCTCCCCATCGTATTATTCGCTCGTTTGTTCTGTCGGTAATTGAAGTTTAGAGGTACATACGTTACAACTTTACACTTGTTTATTAAATGCGTGGGAAGTGATTGGTGCGTTAATGTTTGAACGTTGTAACCGTCATTTGAACAAATTCCTGTGCGTAGCCAGATGTAATTTTTCGTGACACAACTGAGGAGGAAACGTAAACCCGTGTACAGAACAGAATATTCTTGCGGGTATTGGGCTGAGGAAATCTGTCTAGAAATGTTAGTTCTAGGTATAATCTCGGATGCTGCGCGACTCTCCAGGCACTTAACTAGTTAAAGCATAACTAGTTAACAAGCATTGGCGCCGAAGGCGAAAGTATCAGCGGAAACTCCCTGTGGTCTCCCTTGAAAAGCTTGTTTTAAATTTAACTGCCATATATATCATTTCCATTATTCCGATATAATGTTCAAGAATCACCGCCAATGGATACCACGCTACATTTATAGTATGTATATACGCATGTATGGTGTTATATACAGATGGCAACCTCTCTACGAATACTGGAACGTCGATGTTTCCAACCGATGGCAGCAACTCAATTCTCATTAGTTCGCATATACCTAAATGTACCGAACTGCCAATAGCTACAACATTATTCATGCTTAAAATTGAGTGGACAGTAACGATACGTACCTGTGTGCCCGCCGCTCCGAACTCACGGCCGCGTGTATTACGGCCGCATCTCTGTAGCGCGCGTGTATACTACTGAATCTGAGCAGAGCGTTGTTATCTACGCGAGTCTTGGTAGCGTAGGCACGCAAACGCAATTACTAGAGATTACACGGCTGTGAAATTGTGCGAAACCGCTGATCGCAATATGGTGCTCTTATACGTGCCCCATAAACAGGATAGGTAATCAGCTCGGGCTCACTCACATCGCGGGGAAAGAGGGGAGGGGGGAGGATATTTCCGGTAAATTCCTGAACAATTGTGTCAAAGAAGTACATTCTAGCGAAGACATTCCTTTTGCAACATATCGTACGCTGCATTTCTTCTCGTTTGTCGCACGAGAGAGCATACCAAAGGTCACGTGTGTGCGCGCGCGCGCGCGCGCGCGCGTGTGTGTGTGTGTGTGTGTGTGTGTGTGTGTGTGTGTGTGTGTG